AAAATTTGGTGCTACAACGGAGGATGAAAAGTAAGTTTGAGACATAAGAAGTTAAAAAGCCTCCACCATTAGAACGAATTTGACAATTTTCAAAAAATAAAATCTGTTTAAAAATTTAGTTAAAATCTTAAAAATAACGTATATAGTCGTTATATTTGGGTTTACACGACGTGGACCTACCTACCCTAGGCATTACTTGTTATATATTATATATTATATAATATAATATATAAGCCATTACCATATTCAAATTCGAAACTTGAAATAAATGGTGAATAATGTAGCTAAAATCATCAAAATACCGTATATAGGGAAGTACCGTTATATCGGAGCTACACGAAGACCTGGACCTGCATAGACAATTTTTTGTCACAGGCTGTAACATCCATTACGAACTTCAAATACGACATCTCAAACAATTTCGGTGAGTATTGTACCTAAAATCCTCAAAATACCGAATATAGGGAGGTACTGATATATGGGGCCTTTGCGATGACCTGTGCCAGTATAAGCAATTTTCTGTCACAGACTGAAGTTCCCATTACGAACGTAATAAGAAACTACTCCGGTGAATAATGACGCTAAAATCATCAAAATACCGAACACTGGGAGGTATCGTTATATGGAGGCCATACGACGACGTGGACCTGCATAGACAAGTTTCTATCTCAGGCTGTAAAATCCATTACGAACTTCAAATACCAAATTCGAAACAATTTCGGTGAATAATGTCGCTAAAATCATCCAATTACCTAATATAGGGAGGTGCCGTTACATGGGGGCTATAAAAATACCGAATATAGGGAGGTTCCGTTGTATTGGGGCTATATGAAAATGTGGACCTACGTGGGCCATTTACGAACTTAACCTGCCTACTGGCAAAAAAAGCCTTCTATCTCCAATCGTTCGAAAAATGGCGTGAATACAACAGACACACAGACGGAGAGACATACAGACGGACATCGCTAAATCGACTTAGAATTTCACGCTGAACAAGAATAAATATATTTATTGGGTCTGACATGTGTATTTAGAGGAGTTACAAACGGAATGATTATGTTAATATACCCTCCATAGTTTGGTGGATGGTATAAAAACGGTTCTGAAAATGTGTACCAAGTGCCCGAACTATACACAAATGGTACTACATTTTGAACAGTTTGGTTCAGGGTGAAGGGATGAAGTCGAAAATGATTCAATTTTAAATTGATATTCGAATTGGTGGTTGGTTTCTGATAAAGAAGTGGGCTTGGGAATGGGTACGAAAAACACTAAATAGTCCTATATTTGGTACAATTTGGTATTAGGTGAGAAGTTAGTGTTTGAAAACTGAACCTTTATGTTAGACAGCTTTTATGTAAAGCCTGAACATATGTACGAGTTTTCGGAAATGTGTACTATAATTGTACGAAGAGTACTGAATGGTACTCTGTGTGATATTGGTTGAAGGGATATAGATAAAATTTTGAAATTTTATATTTAGATCACTGTAGGTATCTGTGTTTGGGATTTTGGTGGATGGCGTTCTATATTTGTGCGAAAAGTACTAAATAGTACTTAATTTGGGTAGAGCTAAAATTTTAAAATTTGAGTTGGTTTTTATACCCTCCACCATACTATGGAGGGTATATTAACTTTGTCATTCCGTTTGTAACTCCTCGAAATACTCATGTTAGACCCAACAAAGTATATATATTCTTGATCAGCGTAAAATTCTAAGTCGATTTAGCCATGTCCGTCTGTCTGTCTGTCTGTCTGTCCGTCTGTCTGTCTGTCCGTCTGTCTGTCTGTTGTAATCACGCTATCTTTCGAACGAATTGAGATAGAAGGCTAAAATTTTGCACACCTGTTTATTTTTCCAGTGGGCAGGTTAAGTTCGTAAATGGGCCATGTAGGTCCACGTTTTCATATAGCCCCCATATAACGGTACCTCCCGATATTCGGTATTTTGATGATTTTAGCGACATTATTCACCGGAATTGTTTCAAATTTGGTGTTTGAGATTCGTAATGAATACTACAGCCTATGACAGAAAATTGTCTGTGCAGGTCCAGGTCTTCGTATAGCCCCCATATAACGGTATCTCCCTATATTCGGTATTTTGATGATTTCAGCGACATAATTCACCGAAATTGTTTCAAATTTGGTGTTTGAGATTCGTAATGAATACTACAGCCTATGACAGAAAATTGTCTGTGCAGGTCCAGGTCTTCGTATAGCTCACATATAACGGTACCTCCCAAAATTCGGTATTTTGATGATTTTAACGCCATTATTCACCGGAATTGTTTCAAATTACGTATTTAGAGTTCGTAATGGGAACTACAGTCTGTGACAGAAAAATGTCTATGCAGGTCCAGGTATTCGTATAGCCCCCATATAACGGTACCTCCTAAAATTCGGTATTTTGATGATTTTAGCGCCATTATTCACCGGAAGTGTTTCAAATTACGTATTTAGAGTTCGTAATAGGAACTACAGTCTGTGACAGAAAAATGTCTATGCAGGTCCAGGTCTTCGTATAGGCCCCATATATCAGTACCTCCCTATTTTCGGTATTTTGACGAGTTTAGGTACAATACCCCCTAAAATTGTTTGAAATATTGTATTTGACGTTAGTAATGGATGCTATAGCCTGTGACAGAAAATTGTCTATGCTGGTCCAGGTCTTCGTGTAGCTCCGATATAATGGTACCTCCCTATATACGATATTTTGATGATTTTAGCCATATTATTCACCGTTTATTTCAAGTTTCGAATTTGAATATGGTAATGGCTAATGGCAAACAATACCTATGTAGGTCCATGTCGTATAGACCCCAATATAACGGCAATATTCGGTATTTTGTAAATGTAACAGAATTTTTTAAGGTTTATATTTTTTTAAATTTCCAAATTCGTTCCAAATGGTGGAGGGTATTCAAAATTCGGCCCGGCCGAACTTACTGCTTTTTAACTTGTTAAATTTGAAATGGTACTACATTTGGTATTAGTTGAAGGAATAGCGTTGAAATGATGAATTTTGATATTAAGATCACTGCTGGTATCTATGGTTGAGATATAGCGATTGTTTTAATGTTTACTTGACCTGTACAAAAAATTCTAAATAAAAAATGAGTGAAAAGATAACAAGTAAAAAAACTGTAAGTTCGTCCGGGCCGAACTTTTAATACCCTCCACCATTTGGTACAAATTTGACAATTTCCAAAAAATAAAATCCGTTAAAAATTCTGTTAAAGTCTTAAAAATACCGAATGCTTATACGACGACGTGGGCCTGCATAGGCAACTTGTGTCATAACTTATTACAAAACTTGAAGAAAAATCTGTTTATAATGTAGCTAAAATCATCAAAATACCGAATATGGGGGGTGCCGTTATATGGGGGCTACACGAAGACGTGGACCTGCACAGACAATTTTCTGGCATGGGCTGAAGTATCCATTACGAACTTCATATGCGAAATTTGAAACAATCCCGGTAAATAATGTCGCTAAAATCATCAAAATACCGAATATCGGGGGTACAGTATATGGGGGCTATTCGAAGACGTGGACCTGCATGGCCCATTTACGAACTTAACCTGCCTACTGGCAAAATATACATGTGTGCAAAATTTTAGCCATCTATCTCAATTTGTTCGATAGATAGCGTGATTACAACAGACAGACAGACGGACAGACAGACAGATACACAGACAGACAGACGGACATGGCTAAATCGTCTTAGAATTTTATACCCTCCATAGTATGGTGGAGGGTATAAAAATACAATCCCGAAATTTGATACAGATGTCACTCTTGTTGTCTGTAGCCGAATGAGGTTGGGGTTTTGGACATTCGTACATGTACGAAGGAATATACAATATTAAGGTGTACGTTTCACTGACGAAGTAGCGAGTACTTGCTAGCATAGGCTGAGCGCATGCATCTGTTAGCAAAATAATATATGACTGATACTTTTGAAATTGTTTGTAAATATTTAAATAATAGATAAAATTTAATTCCGAATTATGGGCATATAATTAGTGGATCTTAATCAAGAATAGACCTTTCCAAATGTCAAGTTTCGGCTGATTTGGTTAAATACACCAAAATTCGGTTTTTGTTTTGGGCTATATCAATTATTGACGTGAATCGAAAACGTTTTGCAAGGAGAGATGACATCTACCGAGAACCGCAATTGTCAACTTTCAATTAATTTGGTTGGAAATTCTAGCGGAAACCTTCAAAATATCGAAAATCAGGAGGTTCCATGGGGATATTCCAATTAGTGGGACAGAATCGAACATTTTTTGTAAGGAGAGAGCAGACCTACCGACAATACCAACTGTCAAATTTCCTCTAATTTGGATGGAAATTGTGGCAGAACCCTCCGAAATATCAAAAAGCTGGGAGTACCGTTATATGGGGGCTATACTTTAACGTGAACCAATATGGCCTATCACCCATCATATAATATAAACCTTTATACCAAATTTAAATAATATGGACTCTATCGTGATTTTAACAGACAGTCGCTTTATAATTTAATTTTTATCAGGATATGTATACTTTTTGGGGTCTCAGACTAATATTTCGAGATGTTACAAAGTTATCTTTGTACGAAAAACACTAAATCCACCAACCATTTTCTCTTCATGAAATTTTCTGTGACCGGATCCCAAATTTTTATATATTTTCTAACATATATGCAACAATTATAAATGGTGTAACAAACCGCTTGCGTTAAAGTTGTAAACTACATGCCACTCAACTTTCATGCACAAAATTGCCGCAACAAATACACAAACCTTTCCCGCAGCATTGACAACAACCACTCGCAATGTTCTGGCAACACTCTAGGATGAAGGAAATGTCACAATTTCCATTATTGTGTTTTGGTTTTGTTTATTTGACTGTGAGGATGTTGTTGTTGTCAGAATTTGACAGCGAATTTGTCAAAACATACACAACAACCAACGAAATTCCTGCACAGAAATCAGTTCATTCGTGGACTGCAAGAGAAATACATGTCGGAAACGGAAGAACGCTAACGTGTTGACGCTGAACGGTCGTTGGGGTTTTTCATTGTGAGGAAAATCTCTTTGGTAGAGCAATTGAATTACCCGAAAAAAAGTTCAATGGAAAGTTTAAAAAAAAAAAATTGAAATTAAATAATTGATAATTTGAAATATTAACGCGATATTGCAAAACAAGAAATGTTTACATTGTCCCCAGCAATGGAGTCATTAAAGTTATATCATTTTTGACCACTAAAGGGTGCGGTAATAAAATAACACATAAATACAATTTCCATCAAGGAAAGCTATCTGCAAATGCCAACAAAATTTGAGGAAATATCGGAAAATATTTTCTTTTTTCAAAACCTGTGAAAAGTGCATAAAACCTAAAGTGAAACGATAAATAATTGTTTGGAATTTGTCACAAAGATCTCAGTTGAAATATTGTGGTATTCTGTATGCATGTACCTCCAACTGTCACACATACAGTTCATACTCCTTTCTGCCCCTCAGGCCCAAAAACGTGGAGCCTGACAGGGGAGAGTAGTAATAGCGAGTGACTGAGAGAGAGAGAAGAATTTAAGTATTGTTTACCCATACATCTGTGTGTGCATTTTGAAAATAGAAATGTGTATTTGTGTGTTTGTTCAGTGACAGCTGATTCGAAAATATACCGCTAGAAGTGAAACAACGGGAGAGAGCACGCAACTCCTCAGTGTTAGAGAAAAGAAAACAGAGCGCCCAGAAAAAAGAGAGAGCCTGTGCCGTTTTGCACGTTTTATTATTTTATTAAAAGAACAACAACAGCAACAACATTAGAACTTCTCTCTGGGCAATGTGGTGGCGGGCCCCATAACTCAATCTAAACGAATTTTATTTACTACAAAGGACTTTTGGCTTTGCGTTGCGTTGCGTTGCGGCAGTAGCAACAAAAAAAAAAAAAAACAACAACCATACAGTCCTTACATCTTACCTTATTCAAGCACGTTGTGTATGACACGCAAAAGCCAACAACAAAATTTATTGGATTTCCTCGAGCAAAAAACAAACCTGAAAACAAATCAAAGTTCTGCCCATACCACAGCCACAGGTGCCACCTTTTGCGCTTTGGCTTGTGTTTGTTTAAAAAAGGATTAGCAAACCACCATTACCACCACCATCATCAGCAGCAGTGGCAGCACTAACACACTCAACGCTCTTTACTATCAAAGGTAAGCCAAAAAAAATAACATGGGGTGGGAGCATGATTTTTCCTTTGTGTGCATAGGAATTTTTCGTTGGAATTTTGAAAGCTTTATCGACAACTTTAACCTACACCAATTCGAAAACAATGAGCCTTAAACAGTTTATTGTTTTCTTTGCTCCTCCAGCAACAACACATCCTCAAAGTTTGTGAACTTGTGTTGTTGTGTATTTGTTTGTAGCTGCGGCCTTTCGCCATGATTATATGACATTGAACAGAAATAATTGTTGGATCGATTTTGCTCCTTGTTTTCAATATCACAATCCTTCCTCCTTCATTCATCCAATTAAAAATATTACTCAAGGGACAAGGACACAACAGGGATTTGTTTGTGGTTTTAATTGAAATTATTGATATTCTGTTCATTGTTTGTATTGTTGTATTATTTTCCTTGTTGTTTATGCAATATGAGAACATGTTAAATTAAAGGTCAACTGTGTTCCTCTGACAAGGATGTGGTGTGTGGATGCAAGGAATATGTGATGCCTATTGGAATTGAAAATTTCGAATTTGGAATGCAAGGAAAGTTGCGCTAAGATTGTGTCTATTTTTTATATTGACAAGACTAGTGTTGAGGGTATTATAAGTTTGATTGGTCCAAAAATTGTGTACCAATATTGGTCCAAGATATAGGATGTTATACATGGATCTTCTGTCTCTCCATGTTAAATTGTAATCACACTACAGGTCACAATAATGGCCTGAATCTCAAATGTTGCATGGAAGTATAGTTAAGGACAAAATAAAGAGGTGGGGTTAAGGACAGAATTGTAAGGGGGATGATTGCAAAATATTTAGGGAACTTTTTGATTTTATTGTTACTCTATAGGTCACAATTATGGGCACAAACCTGCCAATTTGAAAGAATATCGAAATATCGGTTAAAATAGACTATATCTTTCATATGAACCAGTAAGTAGAGGTCAAAAGTAGGACGGGCCGACTTATGATACCCTGTGTAAATATTTCAAATTTCGCATTCGAAGTTCGTAATGGATGCTACAGCCTATAACAGAAAAATGTCTGTGCAGATCCTCGTTTTATAGCCACCATGGTACCTCCCTATATTCGGTATTTTAATGATTTTTGCGAACTCTTTCATCGGAATTGTTTCAAATTTTGTATTTGAAGATCGTACTGGATACTACATCCTAAAACAGAAAATGGGTCATATAGGTCAACGTCTTCATATAGAACCCATATAACGGTACGCCCGATATTCGGTATTTTGATGATTTTAGCGACATTATTTACCGGAACTATTTCAAATTTAGTATTTGAAGTTCGTAATGCATACTATAGCCTATGACAGAAAATTGTCTGAGCAGGTCCACGTCTTCGTATAGCCCCCCATATAACAGTACCTCCCGACATTCGGTATTCTGATGATTTTAGCGACATTATTTACCGGAATAGTTTCAATTTTGGTATTTGAAGTTCGTAATGGATGCTACAGCCTATGACAGATACTCGTTTTATAGCCACCATGGTACCTCCCTATATTCGGTATATTGATGGTTTTAGCTACATTATAAAAATAATTTTTTTCAAGTTTAGCATTTGAATATTGTAAAAGCTTGTGACAATAGTTGCTTGTGCAGGTTCACGTCGTCGTATAGATTCCAATATACGGCTACATTAGGTATTTTCAAGATTTTAACAGAATTTTGGTTTCCCACATAGGAAAGTATCACACAAGCGAAATCTTCCAAAATGGATTTGGACATAACTTCAAACTTATTGTAGTGTTGTAGGGTATCACATGGTCCGCCCCGCACGGTTATAGCCTTTGCTTACTTGTTTTTGTTTAACGATGTGTATGTGCGGCGCCAAACTCTTCGTATTTTCCTATAGTATATGTGTTTACTACGCTGAGATTCGGAACAGCAAACTTTGGTTTGGTAAAGGTATATGAACACTCTATAAAGCCGATTCATTACTCGGTATAATAACAGTGAGTTATTTTGCTTATTTTTACACCCTCCATCATGGTATGGTATATTAAGTTTGTCATTCCGTTTGTAACACCTCGAAATACGCATTTGAGACCTCACAAAGTATACATATATATTCTTGATCAGCATAAAATTCTATGTGGATTTAGCGATGTCCGTACCCCTGTTAGTCTGCGAAAATCATTCCTCTAGCTTCCGAACGAATTAAAGTAGATTGATAAAAATTTATTCAAATGTATGTTATGTCAGCAGGTTTTAATGATTTTAGCGACATTATTCACCAGAATTGTTTCAAATTTGGCATTTGAAGTTCGTAATGGATACTACAGCGTAAGACAGAAAATTATCTGTGCAGGTCCACGTCTTCGTGTAGCCCCCATATAATGGTACCCCCCGATATTCGGTATTTTGATGATTTTAGCGACATTGTTTACCGGAATCGGTTCAAATTTGGTATTTGAAGTTCGAATTGGATACTTCACCCTAAGACAGAAAATTGTCTATGCTGGTTCAGGTCTTCGTATAGGGCCCATATATCAGTACATCCCTATATTCGGTATTTTGACGATTTTAGGTACAATACCCACCGAAATTGTTTGAGGTGCGGTATTTGAAGTTCGTAATGGATACTTCACCCTAAGACAGAAAATTGTCTATGCAGGTCCAGGTCTTCGCACAGCTCCGATATAACGGTACCTCCCTATATATGATATTTTGATATACACCTCAATATAATGCCTATATTTGGTATTTTTAAAATTTTAACAGAATGTTTTAACGATTTTATTTTCTGAAAATTTCCAAATTCGTTCCGAATGGTGGAGCGTATTCAAAGTTCGGCCCGGCCGAACTTACTACTTTTTGACTTGTTTACTTTTTTAAACCTACACCACATAGTGGTAAGGGTATTATGTCTTTGTGCATTTGTTTGTAACAGGTAATAGGAAACGAGATAGACCCATAGTTACTTTTGAGGATCTCCATAGAATCACTTTCTGAGTTGATTTATGCATGTCTGCCCGTACGTCCGACTGTCCATGTATTTTGTGAACCAAATGCAGGCAGCATTTATTATCTAATTAAGATGACATTTTGCACAAGTCATTTGCTAGGCCCATGGACGGACCCTATAGAAATTGGAGATAATCGGTCAAAATTTAGATATAGCTCCCATATATATCTTCGTCCGATTTGCCTTTTATTGTGCACCAAACATGTAATATCAGTCCGAATAATATAGAATTTTGCACGTACGGTTAGATTGGACCTGAAAATAAGTATGCCAAATTTGATCGATATCGGTTCAGATATAGCTATAGCTCCCACATATATTGTTCATCCGATTTGTTATTTTTGTACTCTGCAGTCATAATATGCACTCTGAAACAACAATATTTGGGGAAATATATCAAATACAGCTCAGAAATACATTTGCAAAATTTTATCGAGATCGGTTCAGATTTGGATATAGCTCCCATATATAACTTTGTCCGATTTACCTTGATTGTGCACTAAACGTCTAATATTTGCCCAAATTGGATGAAATTTGGCACATACGACCGAATTGGGTCTAGAAGCTAGTCTAGAAGCCAAATTTGGTGAAGATCAGTTCAGATATAGCTATGCTCCCACATATACTGTTCATCCGATTTGTTATATTTGTTACCCACAGCCGTAATATGCAGTCCGTAATAACGATATTCAGGGAAATATAACAATTACAGCTTAGAAATATCTTTGCCAAATTTTATGGAGATCGGTTCCGATTGGGATATAGGTCCCATATATATCATTATCCGATTTCAAATTAATTGTGCACCAAATGGGTAATACAAGTCCGAATTTGAAAGATAGAAATGCATGGGCGTATTTAGTCCTTTGAACTTTAAATTATAATTATAATCATAGCATGTATGATTGAATTCTCCCATAAAAACTTTTAATTGTTATGTGGAGCTCTAATAATTTAGGAAAGTGGTGTAGGGTATTATAAAGTTGGCCCCGCCCAACTTTAGGACTTTCTTTACTGGTTTAAATTACTGGTAAAGCAGATAGTATGTGGTTATGTAATGCATCGTAATGCTGTTAAATTTTGCGTATTTTTTATTCCGGGTGGCAGTTTGCTAAGTACTAACTCAATATGATACTAACAAGTTAGCGTAGGAGGTAAACTGAAATATATGAATACTAATAAATTAATTCGTTCATATCATCTACAGTACTGCATACACTCGCTTTGTGTATCGATCTCCTTGTAATGAGTCTATCCATATATCATGTTTATTCATTAGACACCTCCAGACTTTGCCATTGTCTGTCTGGTGAATGAATGGCAATTAGAACAGCCCCAACTCACTAATGACTAATGGCCACCTAAATGCTTTACTTGTCGGCTCCATTCATAATGAGGGGATGAGTTGGTTGGCTGGCAGGTAGGTAGATTGTTAGACAGACAGCTATTGTTGCCTTCGTTTGCTGGTTTTGCGAGACTCTTGGTTGCTAGTGTTGACTGAAGTTCCAAACACTCACACACCCACAGAAACCTTCATACATGTCCTTTTGTTATATTTCCTGGCAATTCAATTATTCTACGGTTAACACGGTTGTTACCATGAAATTTCCCCCCATATTAGATGGAGCAAGTGATATGCCTTTATGTGAAAAGTGACTGAATGAGAGTGTGAGTGAGTGTCTCTGAGTCAAAGAATGGCCCTGACAATGGAAATCTTCGTGGTTGGTTTTTATGAACCATACATGGTCTGGATGCTATGCTATGTTTGTTATTCTGATTGTATATTTATTGTTGTAAATTGCATATAAATAGAGGGTTAGATCACTACTTCAAAATGGGTAAGATTTAATTTTGGTATTTCGGTTATCGGGGTTTTAAGATCCCACATAACGACATCAAGATTTAAGGTAATTTGAAGGTTTTGATCACCTTTCCCAATGGAATTTCATATAGTTTGGTATTTGCTTGTCTCATTTAGACAAAAAATCTATGTCGTATAAT